GACAATCAGTCCTTCAGAAAATCCTGCTTCACAGATAAGACTTGTGACAAGCCACAAGAATCTGTTATAGGGAGTCCAGCTGTATATAATAAGCTATACTTTGACCAACCAAGGGTCTGTCAAAAGTGAAGCCATTTATCACAGAATATTTGGTGTTATACATCTTTAATATTCAGCTTTGCCTTGCTATGAATTTCTTGTGCTCATAATTCCCATAGAACTATGTATGAGCACCACACATAGAATGTGTATGTATGAACACCCTGCTTGGGCCAGTACTTGGATAAAGTCATATAGGCAGAGCCTGTTGCCTCTGAGCTCCTGGCACCACCTTTTTAGCATTTGAATTGAGTATCTGCCTTTTACAAATTTCTCCTTTAGCTAGGCCCAGCCCAAAATAAAGCAATGAAAGACTAGCAGGGACAGAATAGCTCAGACCATCCCTTGCCTTCAGGTTTAATGGCATTCCAGAGCTATTGACTGAGAACAAAGGTTTTTGCATATCCAAGTAAAGTGAAGGATGAGGCAGGATTCCAAGGAGAGAATCCTGCATGGCAGAGAGAACCTTGCATGGCCCGGAGAGAAAGAACAAGGCAGTTTTTCAGTAGAAAGTAGACAGAATCACATGGCCAGAGAGAAGAGAGGAACACAGAGATTCTGTAGATGGTAAGGCAGAATGGCTCAGGCTGAGGAGTGAGGAGCAAGGAAAAGTTTCTTGTAGATTGTAGGTGAATCAGGTCAGGAGAGGAGAAGAGGAAGAAAAGATGGAGGATGAAGGAACAGGGGATGAAGATGAGATCAAAAGCATAAGTGCTTAGTTATTACTAGGGCTATGAGGGGACAGAAAAAGTAGGTGCAGAGAAGAACTGAGAGTCAGGATGGAACTGAAGCTGTATAGAGGAATAAAGTAAATGGACAAAAGACCAAGGTGCATGAAGATTTTTTTCCCTCAGATACCCCATGCCAGATGTAGTGTCTTCCCCAGGACTCTGGGAGGAATTTTCTCAGGGATGGAATTTGGGAAAATTCAGTTAAAGTCTGTCAGATATTCTAGCCTGTTGGCCAAAGACGGATGCCCCAATGTTGCAAAGGAACCTTGAGTGACTTTCCAGGCAGCTGGCTGTTTCTGTCATTTCTCACATTTTTTGGAAGTCCTTTGCTTGCACTTGCTGCTTACTCAGGTAATATTATTTTCTTCTCAGGTCTCAGATGGAGTTGAAGACTTCATAGTTAGAGTTTCAGTTTTCCTTGTTACCAGATTCAGAAAAGAAATTCACTAAAGAGGTGTAAAGTGTACAAAGTTGAGAGATGTTAAAAAATAGTTTTGGTAATGCAAGTTATAATAGAAAGTGAATTAGGTACAACATTTTGGACTCACCAAGATAGGATAGATATGGAGTATTTTCACTGGATTTGTCAGTTGTTAATGGACTAGACATTGTTGATGTATTTATTGCTTGTATATATTATATATAGTTATTGTACATACTGTATATAGTTTTTCATATATTAGTTATAGCCTTTTTTATTTTAGACCAAAAAAAAAGAGGAGGATGTGGTGATATTTTGTTTGTGCTCTAACAAATAAAGCTTGCCTATGGATCAGAGCGTAGAGGTAGCCACTAGTTAACCATAGAAGCCAGGTAGTGGTGGCACATACCTTTACTCCCAGTACTTAGGATCTCATGCTTTTGATCCCGGTACTTGGGAGACACAAGCCTTTAATCCCAGCACTAGGGAGGAGGAAACAGGAAGTGATATGGCTGGGTGGAGAGAGGACTATAAATTGGGTGGAGACAGGCTGATGAGCAGGTGAGGTAAGAGGTGGCTGAGGCTTGCTCCTTTGTCTCTCTGATCTTTCAGCATTTACCTTGATATCTCTCTCCAGGTTTTTACTGTGAAGACAAATTAGAATTCACAGTACATTCATCTGTGTTTGAATATGTGTGTGTGAGTATATATGTGAGTGCTTTATTTGCAAGCCTGTGTGTGAGTGTGTGTATACTGTTGTGTGTGTGAGTGTGTGTGTGAGTATGTGTATAAGTGATTGTGTGTCTGTGGATGTGTAAGAATGTGTGTGAATGTGTGTGGGTGAAGTGTCTGTGCATATGTGTGAATGTGTGTGTCAGTATGTGAGTGAGTGAGTGAGTGTGTGTGTGTGTGTGTATGTGTATGTATGGGTGTGCCTGTGAGCACTGCCTGCAGAGGCCATTATGCTTCCCCTGGAACTGGTGTTAAGTAGCTGTGAGCCACCTGATGTGGCTGCTAAGATCCCAATTCAAGTCATCTCTGAATCATCAGCAAGTGCTCTGTGTGCTGAGCCATCTCTGTGGTTCTCTGTGTTCTTTATAAAAATATTTAATTCATATTTACTTATTTATGTGTGACTGTATATATGTGGGGGGCAGGCATTGGAGACCAGAAGACAGCTTGAGGGAATCCATTCTCTCATTCCATCCCATGGGAACTGGAATTGAACTCCGGTTGTCAGGTTTAGAGACAGGTGACTTTACCCCCTGAGCCATCTTGCCAGCCTGTAACATTTCGTTCAATGACAGCTGATATCTGCATCTTTTTCTGTGTTAGGCCCTTTGCATTTTGGTTGAATCCAGCTTGTCACAGAGTGTAATCACTGGACCACTGTTACTAGGTTTGGTTTATTACTATTTTGGCCTGAATGGTGTGTGTGTGTGTGTGTGTGTGTGTGTGTGTGTGTGTGTGTGTGTGTGCCCATGCTGATTCTCAAATGAAAGATACATACACTTCACTTTGCTAGCCTCTTTTTTGTGGCTTTGATTTGGAACAAGTTAGAGAATGTGCTGTTCATGGTGCCCTCCTTCTGAAGTCTTTTTTTAAATACAATGTCTCACACTGTAGCCCAAGTTAGCTAACTTAATCTTCCTATGTAGACAACATGGTCTTGAACTTCTGGTCTTCCAGTCTCTACCCCTGTAGTGCTGGGATTAGAACCACCACCAGGCCCTGTTGTGTGGTGTTGATGATCCAGCCCAGGTCTTTGTGCATACTAGGCTAGTACTCTCTCAGGTGAGCTACATCCCCACCCCAGAGCACCACACTGTACTTATTTTTGATGAATAAACTTTGTCGTCTGACAGCGTTACACGTGTATCTGATGCATTCTGACTAATTTCCCCACTCTCTCTTCCTTCACTTCCACCCTCGTCAGCCTCACTTCCTCCCCGCAAATCTCTTTCCCATGTTCGTGATTTGTCTTGTGTCCTGCAGACTTTGACTAGTGCCGTCTGTGTGACTGTGGGTTTAGAACTGTCCGTTAGAGCCTGTGGGGTCACCGCCCACCAGTGAGCACACGACTGAATACACGGCCTCCCGCTCTCCCGGAACCTGCGAGGTGTCAATATTGTTCGGTAGTAAGTGGTGAGCTCTGTCTCCTTCTCATGATGACCCCTGTCACAGAGTGGTGGAGGTTGCATTTTGGTGAGTAGAAGGAGTAGAGGAAATTGGGTTTTGTTGTTGTTGTTTTTCTCTAGACAGGGTCTCATGTATCTCAGGCTGGGCTCAAGCTCTCTATGTAGCTTTGAACTTTCTCTTTGAACTACTGACCGCCCCCTGCGTCTACTCACTGAGTTCTGGGATTACAGAAGTCTGCTACCAATTACGTGGTGCTGGGGATGGAGCCAGGGCTTTGTGACTGCTAAGCTGTCACTCTACAATCTGATTCTCATCACTACTCTTAGACTTGCTTTTTTCTCAAACAACAAACAGACAAACATCAGTGGTCTCAAATAAAAATACAAACTTTAAATAATATATCAGCTTTATTGGTATGCCTAAATCACACACTGCATGATTTAACCAAGAACAGTGTAATTTTCTTTTCTTTTAGTTTTTCAAAGCAGGGTTTCTCTGTGTGACAGCCATGGCTGTCCTGGAATATTCTCTGTAGACCAGGCTGGTCTAGAACTCACTGAGATTTGCCTGCCTCTGCCTCCAGAGTGCTGGGATTAAAGGAGTGTGCCAAAACCATCTGGCATACAGTGTAATTTTCAGTGATTTTAAATATGGTTCTACAGAAGTTACATAGTCAGTGACTTTTAGAACATTTCATCACTTCAAAACAACTTCCCTAACAGTTACAAGCAACTGATCAGAGGGATTTTCACATACACCCCACTTCATATTAGCTTTCTATATAGTCTTTTATTGTGAGCCATAGCTGTCAGGGGACACTTGCAGTCTTGAGCCTCATTTCCTGACTCTGTAAAGCATGACCTCATTGGACCATGCTGAGCAGTTGGTCCACTGGGACATACTAGATTCAGCCATCTCTCCCAGTTCAACTCAACTGATCTAAATGACAACTCTATTACATAGTGGTAACTACTGCCCAGAACAGTCTTATAATCTAGTAAAGGGTATACAGGAAGACCCTCAGTGGTGGACTAGGGGGAATGCTAGGGGGAAGGAGACACATGTGTGGGAGTCATACCGTGAAGAAGTGACTTTATTTGTTAGGGGCACAGGTGAGGACAGATTCTAACAGATTGCTATTGTTTTGCTGAGTTGAGTTGTCAAAAATGACTAAATGTCTTTCAGGGAGGGACACTGACATTCTGCAAAGGTCAGAATCCAGGTAGCACAATTTTTGCTTCATTTCATGTATCTTTAAATGAAGACAGCCTTGATGAGAGGGCATTTCATGTCAATGAATTTGTTTAATTTCTGATAAAAATGAAGAACCTGTAGTCTTCCTGAAATGACTACATTATTCATTGATTCTGCACAGAATGTTAGCTCAGAAGATATCAAAATGGACTGTGCACGAACTTTCTGATCTGCCAAAGTGAAGAGGATACCAAAGTCCAGGTGGCTGGATCACTTGCCCCACCATCGTCCCGGGGTATAAACACTGCAGCCTTGCACATTTCAGCACCATTGGGCAGAAGGGAAGCCCTGCAAAGGGTAGCACACACCGCTGGAGGGAGAACACAGGGTCGTACATTGCTGACAGACAAGCCATGATGGACCTGACTTCAGTTCTCTCCCTGGTAACCTGGGTCCTCCTGGCAATCAGTCTGATGCTCCTATACAGGTGAGTAACCACCAAAGATCCTCTCCCACCGTGTCCTTGGGATTGGGGTAATACTCACACCTATATTGTGGTATTGTCTGGAAGGTCAAAAGTAGTATCAGAAGCAGGGGCTGGAGAGATGACTCAGTGGTTAAGAGCACTGACTGCTCTTGTAGAGAACCACAGTTTGAAACCTGGATCCACATGTAACTCACAATCATCTGTAACTACGGTTGCAGGGGATCTGATGCTCTCTACAGGCACTAGAATAAAAACTTCAGAAAGAGAGCAGAATTGAAATTAACACTTGTAAAAAACATTTTAAATTACATGTTTTTATTTATTGGGCCTAGGGGCAGCACATGAGACAGTGTGTGTGTTCTTGTGTTTGTGTGTCTATGTGAGTGTCAGAAGATAACTTTAGGGAGTCAGTTCTCTCTTATTGTGTTCTCCTGGGGGTCAAACTCAGCTTATCCACATTGGCAGCCAGTGCCTTTCCCTATGAAGTCATCTTGAAGGCCTGAGTTCATTTTGCATTTTTTCGTCATAATGGGGGATCAAAGCAGAGTCTGTATGTGCTAGTCAAGCACTCTACTACTGAACTATATCCCAGGTATACTAACTCTTAATATTCATATTGATGTTATTCTGATCTGCTTGGCATACACACACACACACACACACACACACACACACACACTTTAAATTCCCTCTTGCTGAGGTGAGGTTGTTTTCTGATAAGATTTACTCTGGCTATGACCTGATTGACTTTCAGGTTACCCCTAGGTCCACCAGAACTCAGGAGAAACAGGTATGAACAGAGGGCTGCCATGCACACTGAACCCCCCAGCCTTTCCCTAAGCTCTATGGGAACTGGAGGGGCAGCCAAGTCATTGTTTTGCTTCATTTTGGGGTTTTGGTCACGTTTATCTCCTCTCCTCTGTGTGTGGTCATAAGGTTTTCTGTTTCACTTTACAGATATGGGACCCATAAACATGATGTCTTTACGAAACAGGGAATTCCTGGGCCCAAACCTCTGCCATTTATAGGAACTCTGCTGAATTACTACAAGGTGAGTGTTGATTGAACTCTCCATCTGGCTTCCCTTGATGGCCAATAATGGTTTAGTTCTATTAAATGTTCTTTGGGAGCATCCACTGAGACTTCAGGCCCTTATACTGTGTGTTCTCATAATATTAGAAATTGTCTAGTGGTTCCTTGGGGCTTTATTTGCAACTTAAAACTATCAAATTCTGTGTGTGTGTGTGTGTGTGTGTGTGTGTGTGTGTGTGTGTGTGTGTGTGTGTGTGTGTTTATAGTGTGTATGCATGTATTTGCGAGTATGTGAGTGCCCATATGTATGCAGGTGCATATGCATGGATTTGTGTGAGCATGGAGAGGCTAGAGGTTGATATTGGGTGTCTTCTTGATTACTCTTCACTTTATACTTAGAGGCAGGGTCTCTCACTTGAACCCAGCTTTCTCTGACTTGACTGGTTTTGCTAGCCAGCTGGCTACAGGGAGCTCATGTCTCTGCTTCTGACAAGTGGGGACTACTGGAGGGCTTTAAACACTGCCTGGCATTTACACAGATACTGGGGATTTAAATTCTGCTTTTTAGGGTGTGATTTTCCCACTGAACCATCTCCACAGTTTCCACTGTCAACTATGCCCCATATTTCTTAATTTTAGGTTTGTGTGTGTGTGTGTGTGTGTGTGTGTGTGTGTGTGTGTGTGTGTGTATGTGTGTGTGTGTATGTACCTTGGCATGCATACGCAGGTCAAAGGACAACTTCTTAGTGTTTCTTTCCACCATATGAGTCCTAGGGATGAAACTCGGGTTATCAGGGTTGGTGGCAAGTGTCTTTTCATTCGCAGCCATCTCACTGGCCCCAATGTCAGTTTATTCAATGTCAAGTTTGCCTTGGGTGAAATGCCCAGATCTGCAGCCCATTTCATCTTGATATTCTGGACATGATGCTCAAACTTTGTGAGCAAAAAGAAGTTTGTTTCTTACCCAGTGCAGATTCTGGAAAGGCACTGCTGTACTTATTTGAAGAAAATCTTGAAGGGGTTTCCAGCTTCAATGATATCAACCTGTATGCATTAAATTAAAATTCTCCTCTTTGTACCCAAGCTCATGAGCAACATTTTTTCTTTTTTCTGAATATTTCTAAAGCATCAGCATATCACAACCCTGCATAGAAACTTTTGGGGACTTTTCATATACTTGAGTTCTCTGCAAAATCATTGAACCCCTGAGATTATTTCCATGGCTCTATCCCCAACATTCACCCTTCATGGCATGTCTGGGTTCTTGAGAACTAGAGTATTTTGCTTCACTCTCTTCCTTTAGAAATGGGGGTCCTGGTTAACACTTGATTCTTTTAGAAAGAAGATTTCATGCATATACTCGTGGGATTGTGCACATGGGTGGAGTACCTACTTAGGCCAGAAGAGGGCACTGGATTCCCTGAAGCCAGAGTTACAGATGAATGTGAGGTGTTGGAACTTGGATCCTTGAGAAGATCAGCAAGTGCTCTTAAATGCTGAGTCACATCTCCAGCCCTAATGACAAATCTATTCTCTTTTGTTTTTGTGGTACTGAGAATGGGATCCAGGGCCTTCTATATGCCAGGCAAGTGCTCTAACACTGAAATGTCTGCTCAGGTTTTTCTTCTTAAAGGTTCTATGCTTATTTTGCACATTCTTTAAAAACTATTATTATTGTTGTTGTTGTATGTTGTATGCATTTTTTATCTGGTGATATGTATATGTACATGTCTATGAGAGTGAATGCAGATGCTCCAGGAAGGCACCACTCTCCCTTTTCTCAATGAGCCATCTTGCTGGTTCCACTAAATGTTACTGAAGAACATTTCTCTGTCAGAAGCAATAAACCTACTTTCATGGGTTGATACATAAAGGGCAATAATGAATTTCATGCTATTTCTCTTTCCAGGGTATGTGGAAATTCGATGTTGAGTGCTACAAAAAGTATGGAAAAATATGGGGGTGAGTATTCTGGAAAGTTCCGTGGAGCTGATCCTTTAGGAAGATGTACTCTACATGTGCAAGGACAATGCCAGCCCAGGACTGTAGTCATGCACCTCTCTGTTGTAAGGGTGATGCCATGTGTCACTAAGTGCCATGGCTCCCAGGTCTAATTATCTTCAGAACGTTGAACACTGTGGCTTTTTGACAGGCTTTGGTGTTCCATGGACTCTGGGCCTTGTGTTTTGTTGTTTTGGTTTGTTTTTGAGACATGGTTTCTCAACAGCTCTGGTTGTCCTGGAACTTACTCTGTAGACCAGACTGACCTTGAACTCACAGAGATCCACCTGCCTCTATCTCCTGAATTCTGGAATTAAAGGTGTGAGCCACCCACACTCCAGGTAACACTTTTGACATAAGAGTATATCATTGTGTCCTGTCTAATTGAACAGATTTTGGAGATTCAATGTATTTAAAAACCAAAGTGTTCTTCCTTGGATCTACATCCTCAATGGTTCTGTAAAGCAGCTGAGTTGGCAGCAGGAACTGTTCCCTGTCATTGATGCTGGAGTTTGGGTAGATCTTTGGAGTGGGTGTCATCATATGCTAGGAGACACGAACAAGTGGGAGGAGGCTCTGGCTCTTCCTGCCTCTTCATCTCTTCTCCTCCATCCTTAGGAACAACAGGCCTGAACACAGGGGTCTGCTGAGTTGATGTAGACCATAAAGGCCATGTCATTCAATGCCTACAGCAGGCTTTGCTGTCTGTCCAATGGCCCTATGTGAATGTCTCCTGGAAATATTATTGCTTGTTAACACTTGATAGTCTTTTCTCAACTTTTCACTGACTAATATTTATTTATTTGTTTGTTTATCCACTTATCATTGTTTATTTGTTTGTTTGGAACAGGATCTCTTTAAGTAGCCCTAACTGTCCAGGTACTGGAATTGTAGACCAGTCTTGCCTGGAACTCAAAGATATGATTGTTTCTGCCTTCCAAGTGCTGGGATGAAAAGTGTATGCCACCATGCCTGGCACTAATATCATTTTTATATAAACATTTTGCTTATATTTTTCATTAGTTTTGTGTGTCTGTGTCTGTACCAATGAATTTAATTGGACTTATTTACATAAGCATGAGCGAGCAAGAGGTTATTTACAGGAGTGCGAGGTTCACCACTGACACAGACTTCTTGCCCTCCCCCAGCAACTGCTTCCTTTTTCCTTTTTTGTTATACTTGTTTATTTATCAGAGAGGGCATGTGTTCCCTGGCGCACATGTAAACGTCAGAGGACAACGTGTGGCAGTCTGTTCTCCATTCCCCCGTGTAGATCCCAGGGGCTGAACTGGAGTTCACGGGGCCGTTTTCCTTCCCATGCCAGGGTTAGCTGTGTGTAAATCCTCAGGCAGGCTCAGGCCCCTGAGCTTCCTGCTGCGGTGTTGACAGTCAAATCACCCACAGGGCCTGTGGAGGTCACCCCAGCTGCAGTGAGTTCCAGACCAGGGAAGACAGCACTTTGCAGCTCCCCTCTCCCCGCCTGGCTCTCAGGGTCTTTCTGCCCTGCCTGCCACACTATCTGAGTCTTGGGGAAGTTGGTAATGGCGCCTCATTGAAATTATGTATTTTCATTGTATCAAAGCCAAAGCCTAGTGCATTCTAGGCAGTCATTCTATCACCAAGCTATAGCCCAAGCCCAGAGAATGAAATATTTTATTATTTTTCAGATAAATTTTTTTAATTTATTTTTTTAATTTTTAAAGGATTTTTTACTTTAAAATTTTTTAGTATTGATACTAATATTTGAATGGTTTAATTATTAATATTTACAATAATATTTTATTTATTTACATTTAAATTCTTTATATTTTATGTTCTTTGGTGTTTTGCCTGCATGTATGTCTGTTTGAGGGTGTCAGAAGCCCTGAAACTGGAGTTACAGACAGTTGTGAGCTGCCATGTGGGTGCTGAGATCTGATCCCAGGTCCTCTGGAAGAGCAGCCAGTGCTCTTAACCACTGAGCCATCTCTCCAGTCCCAATATTTTATTTTTAAACATCTATTTCTATTACTTTTAATTATGTGTATGTGCATGTGTGTGCTTCTGCACATGAGTGCTAATGGTCATGAAAGCCAGAGGCATTGGATTCCCCTGGAGCTGGACTTACAGCTGTTATGAGCCATCCAAGTCGGTGCTAGGAACCAAACTCAAGTCTTCTCGCAGGAACAGTATGTGCTATTATTAACTATGGTGCCATTTCTCCTGCCCCTCACAATATTTAAAATATGCAAATATCAGAAAAGGATATAAACAACTCTCACATATTCACATGTAGACTAAAAAATTCCATTTGTTGTGTCTTATTATGATGTCATTTGGAACTGTTGTTGGTTAATTCATATTGTTCAGGACACTTAAATAATGAGAGTTACTCCAAAATTTAATTTTAGGCTCTCTGGAAGCAGGGAGGTACAGTTTCTGTGAACTGAACCTTGAACCTCTGTTCAGAAGCATATTTACTGAGAGTACAGGAAAGTTGTGTTTGGGGTACAACAAGTTCCTCATGTCAAAGTCCCCTTGATTTATTCTACATGTTCTCTGAAGGAAGCCATCACACCCCTGCAACCTCAGTCCTTATTGTGCACTGTCTGCAGTACCCAATAATCCAAGACCTCCAAGCATGCCTGGATAGTCCTGTGACTAAAGTCATGCAACAGATGGAAAACCCCTTCAGAAAAACAACTCTATAAATCACAAAAAAACAGTCACTGTTCTCTACTATGATTTCATCAAGGTCTAGGTACCTTCAACAACCAACTAATACATTCTGCTATTACCCTAGAGACACTGAGAAACAAATTTTTCATTATAATGTTTATCCAGGATACAATGACTCTATTAGATTCCCACTACATTTCCTTTTGTTTAAGCTGTTTTATTACCTTCAAGATTATGCAGCCACAGTGAAGATACCCCTTTATGTATCATATTGTCTCACAGTCTTAGGTAGATAATCCAGAATACATTTTCCTTCCAGTAAAATTATTACATTGAAAACAAGTATAACAAATGGTAGGATAAGAAATCTATTAAAATGAAGCACAGGACTGAATGAAGCTAAGGGATCTGCAATGCTTTCCATGACTTCCATTCCGGACATATCAAGATAACTCAACTGAAAAAGTTTCCTTCCTTTCTTGTTATAAATCATCAATCATTTGAGAAGAATTAGGGTGATCTAACAAATGCATTTTAACCCTTTCTAATCATACTTGCTTTCAGTAACCTTAAAAACGTAATGCAATAAGATGTCACATTCTAATCACATTTTAAATTCATATGCTCCCTCAGTGTTTCTAACTGATCTCCCATTAGGATACAACTTGTCTCAAATCAGCTGTTTCATTGACTACCTAACTGTCTATTCTATTTTGCTGAGCCCAAAGGTCTGCACATGTTTATGCCAGTCTTTAATAAATTCAGCAGTCTGAATTTCTTTATGAAGGGCCAGACCAGCTGACACAGTCAGTTAATGGAATAATTCCCATTACCACAGCAACAATTATTCAATCATCCTATGAGTTCTTCTTAATATTCTCTCAGAGAGTTTCTGGACTAGAATCATGACAGGTTAGCCTGTCATGGCCTCAAAAACTTCACTGGCATCCAAACTGTTGGCCTTGATCCAAGAATGTATAAACATTCAGAGGTGACATCTAATGACATACTAGCATTAATGCAAGTATGAAGAGTAAAGTGTTCCAACTGATGCTATAGTGATTAAGGTGCCATTGTTTAGACCCTTTCAGTAATACATAAGGTAATGGTGCACATGCTACAAAGTGGTGAATTTGGTTTCATCTAAAGGACAAAGTATATATGCCATCATTAATGTTTAACCTTCTTTTCCATAGTTTAAGAGAATGTAAGGCACTTGCCCATTTCTCCAAATTAGTCTGAACTGAATTTCCAAATTGCCACATAGGAACTGACATCCCAACACCATTCCATTGCATAGGTTCACAACTAATTTCTCTAATTCCATTCAAACCATTCTTTTGCCATCTCAATTCTGAGTGAAAATACTTTCCTCATGGGAAGCCATAAGGGCTTTGATCAATGACTTTTCCTTGGGAGATATAATATGCACCTGATGATTCTCACTTTTACATTGATGACAATGTATCCAGTCAGATGCCTTGTTGCTCATCCACATCTCACAAAATGGAAGATTTATGGAATTAGTAGAATTAATCTCCTGTCCTCTAAACCCAAACGAAAGAAACATAAAAATTTTATTTTGAACCTCTTGAGTAGTATGAACTATAGATAACCAAATTTGAAAAGTTATATTTTGACAGTGAGTTCCATCACCCATAAAATTAGGAATTCCTTGAATTTCCACAGTATGGTTTGTAGTTTCCTTACCCTCTTCCTCAGGCCCACCAGGTCCTCACTAGTCATAAGGACCAAGTAGCCAAGAGGATTCATTGACCACTACAGGAATATCTGTGTCTCCCCAACTGATCCCTTTATTAATGGGAGGATTAGGAATATAAGCCCAGTATGTTTGGTCCCTATTACATACACAGTTTCCACAGACAGCATAGCATGGAACAATGTTGCAGAATTCAAAGGCTCCTTAGCCAGCTGAACTATTGTTTCCTCTTCTTCAGTGAATTTCTTAAGCCATCCTCATGTAGAAGGATCAGCTCTTTGTTGCAAGGGCCTCCTGTATCTCTTTCTTTCCAGAGTTGTGTTATCCATGTCAGCAGCCAAGACAGCCAGGAGACTTCTCATGCTCATGTCAAATTTTTATTAATTTTAATGGTGTCCACAACTTCTGGTCTCCTTCAGAAACATAAGCATAACCTCGACCCCAACATAACACCTTCTCTAATTTCCATTCTGATTGAAATATCCTTGTAATACACATGATAACCTAATTCAAGAGTTTTTTTCCACAGTCCAATGCCTTTCAGCAGCTGTTGTCCTGCTTCATTAGTATTTAAAAATTTAAAGTTAGTAAAGCATGATGTAATCTATCTCTGGGAGTCCTCCTATTCCCCCCTTTTTTAAAGCATGTCTTTTAGAGTATGATGAGATATTTCAACAGTTGCTTGTCCTGTAGTGTTTATGTGGTATCCCTGTAATGACATTTATGTTATAACTTAAAAAAAAAAAAATTACTGAGAACATAAGCAGAAGCATTATCAGTTTTAATTTGTACTGATATGCCAATTACAGCCATCATTTCTAATAAATGTGTAATTACAGAATCAGCCTTTTCAGAACTTAAGAAAGATACCGATTGAAATCCAGAATATGCATCATTGTATATATTTAGTTTTTTTCCAAATTCTGCTAAGTGAAATACATCCATTTTCCAAATTTCATTTCTTTGAGTACCCTTAGGATTACTTCCTGCTGGTAAAGGAATTTGACTGTACCAAGAACAACAAGGACAATATTTTTTGTACTTTATTTAGCTTGTCACCAGGTAACAGAAATCTTTTACTTTAAGCCTTAACTATTAACATGATGTTTTTATGACATTTTGAAGTTTCTAATACATTTTCTATTAGTAGTTGATTAATTTCTTCATTTCCTTTTTCTAATGACCCTTTAGATCCTGTTTGAGACCAAATGTGAATGATATATAGTGGATAATTTCTTTCCCAGATTGCTTGTGGCAGTTGTATGAATAAAAAATTTAATTCTGATTATCAGGAATAAGTTGAACAGTATATGTATATAATTCAACTCCTTTTGCATATTGAGAATCAGTAAGCATGTTAAGATACTCATTAAAATTTAATAAAACCATTATAATGGCATATAATTCTGATTTTTATACTGAAAAATACGGACTTTGGACTACTTCCTGCTTTACAACCAGCCATTCCTAATTTATTTGCATCAGCATAAAATGTAAGAGCCCCCAAAATAGGTGTTCTTTTTACTACATGGGGAAGAATCCATTCAGTTCTTTTTATAAATTGAAGTTCTTTACTTTTGGCATATATATTGTAGATTTCTCCTAAATAATCGCTACAGGCTCTTTGTCAGTCATCATTAATTACCCATAACTGCATAATTTCAACATTAGTGTAAGGTACTACAATCTCAGCCTGATCCATTTCTGACAATTGACAAAATCTTATTCTTCTTTTTATAATTAATTCAGAAAACTTTCCTTTGTAGATTTTTATTCTTACATACTGTTTATGAGCAAAAAATCCATTCTAAAATATTATCTTCTCTCTGCATAATGAGTCCAATAGGGGATTGAGTAGAAGGTAAAATTACTAAAATGCATCAATTTGTGAGATCTAATAGATGTATATAAACATCTTGCAATTTCTATTCTACTTGGGACAACACCTTTTCTGCTTCAGGTGTAATGCCTAAGACTGTTTAAATTTGAGTCACTTTGCAAAATTTGAAATAAGCTACTTAATTCTTGAGTAGTCAGTCCAATTGTTAGACCACAACCAATTAATATCTCCCAATAAATTTTGAAAATCATAAAGTATATGTAATTCATCTCTTCTAATCTGTCCTTTTTGTGGCTGGATTCTCTGCTTACTTAATTTAAATTCTAAATAATTAAGAGAGTCTCCTCTTGAAATTTTTTCAGGAGCAATTTTCAATCCCCATTGAGGTAAAATCTGTTGCACCTCAGCAAACACCTTTTCAAAGATATTGAAATCAGAGGCAGCTATTAAGATATTATCCATATAATGATGTTGTTTTTAAACTAAATCTCAATCTTATGATTTTACCAATAAAGACTTGGGAGTCAGATGCTGGGGTGAAAACCTGCAAGCTCAGAAAGGCAGAGGAGCAACGAGCTGACCTTCCTCCTAGTTGAAGTCTCAGAAAGAGAGCTTTCCTTTTCCTGTCCCAAACCAAACAGGACCACAAAACTCCAAGTCCCTCCTCACTACTTCCTGTGCATTTCTCTGTCTATTTTCCAGGCTCCCTTTAAGTCTCTATGGCTACTTCCTGTCAACTACTTGCTGGCTTTGCCTCTTAAACCAAGGTTGATTTTATTTAATTAATGCAACTCAGTGTTCACAGTGTGATCAACTATCCTGAACATAATGATAAACAATGGATTGAGGAAATTGCTTACTAATTACTTCCAGTGGATTCTTTTTTTTTTTTTTCTTTTCTTTTTTTGTTGGTTTTTCGAGACAGGGTTTCTCTGTGTAGCTTTCCTGGAACTCACTTGGTAGCCCAGCCTGGCCTCAAGCTCACAGAGATCTGCCTGGCTCTGCCTCCTGAGTGCTGGGATTAAAGGCGTGAGCCGCCGCCACCACCAGGATTCTTTACATATTTAGGTATTGACATAACATTGTACTATTTACCATTTCCTTCAGAAGGACTTTCCATTTATATCCTTTTTACATGCTTGGACATTATTATAAGTAGGAACTATAAAAGCCAATTTTTCTTTATCTTGTTCCTGCAAGGGAATAGTAAAAAAAAAAAATCAATCTTTTAAATCAACAACTATAATAAGCCAAGCCTTAGGCAATAAAGATGATAATGGAATTCTAGGCTCTAAAGGCCATAGGTTCAATTACATTGATTACAGCCTTTAAATCAGTACATTTTTTAAAGATATTTTTATTATAAATACAGGATAATACCAAGGCTTTGTAGTATTTCAGTGTGCTTAGCATCTAAATGTTTTGTACAACTTGCTCAAACACCTGTATTTTTTTTTAAATTATGGGCCACTGTTCCACCCATACAGGTTTATTAGTTAACTATTTGAAAGGCAGAGCAGTTTGGCTTGCAGCAATGGCCCTTATTCCAAATTCTGGTTGCCAATTTCTGCCTTGTCTTGTTCCTGGGCAACCTCCATAGCCTGTTGTTATACCCAGAGTCCCCCGAAAACCACCAAGAGATCTAATCCCATGCAAAGAAAAGAGTCTTTGTATTGTGATGAGTCAACTCAGGACTATCCATTCATTTGACAAGACAGCAGAGCAGCAGAGAGTCTGAGTAGCATGGAGGCAGGTAATTATAAGCAGTAAAGCAAGAAGGGTGAAGAGGTTTGGGTTCTTGAGGCTACATAGGAGCAGACTCAGGATTGATGTACCTCCATCTGGAGGTGCTGTCCTTGGTTAGTTTGCAGCTGCAAGAAAACTATTATCTTTTTAGCAGTTGTTGTGGCTACTACATTTTTTCTTTATCATGACCCCACTTTGCTGTAACTTTTAATTGGCTTCTTTTACTGTATGAGGATATCTGGAAGGGTTTTCCTGTAACTAGGGCTAGGCTCAAGTTTGGGGACTCAAGGGTACATCATGCTGTGCCATGGGCCTACATTCTGTTGGGTGTTTTCCATAGCCTGTCATAGCTGCAGAATAGTCAAGGCATGGGTCTGGGCAGGAGGCTTGGTTCCTTATTTCCCCCTCTTGATGCTACTCAAGAGGACCCAATCATGGGTTCTCTCTGAGGGTCCCTAAGGGAAGGTACTGAGACCTCAACACCATTAGCTGTACTGTATTTATCTGTTCCTTAATGAGGGAAATCAACTAGCTCCGGATACAGGAGCCAAATTGAGTTAAGAGTAACAAAATCAGTAAGGGACACAATATGGTAGAAATCAGAGTCGTCAACCATGGGGATGAGTTTAATAGTGACTCAAACCAGCCCTGTGCTTGCTCTCTGTCTCTCTCTGTCTCTGTCTCTCTGTCTCTCTGTCTCTCTCTGTCTCTGTCTCTCTCTGGGACCTCCTGTGACAATGTGTTGTATAACCAGAGTGAGAGTCATGTAACATGAGAATCAAAGTCTGGATTTGGGGTTCTGGCTTCAGAAACTGGCTTGGGTTAATCAGCTGTTTTCCCCACACAGGTTGTTTGATGGTCACATACCTGTGTTAGCTATCACAGACACAGAGATGATCAAGAATGTACTAGTGAAAGAATGCTATTCTGTCTTCACAAACAGACGGGTAGGTAACTTGGTTTTAATTTAAAAAGTTGATTCATGTTTGTTATTTGTATTTATGTGTATATATGTATGTCCATATGAGTGAATGTTATATGTGTGTGGGTTCTTGTGAATGCCAGAAGAGGGTATGGTGTTGTAGGCAGTTGTGAGTGGCCTGACAGGGGTTCTGGGAACTGAACCTGGCTCCTCCAGAAGAGCAGCAAGTGCCCTTAACTGTTGTGCCATATCTCCAGCTTCCCCCATTTACTAATGCACAACTTTATATTTTACTTATTGAATTGATTTTGATTGATTGGTTTGGTTTATTAGAGAACTCACTCTGTAGGCCAGACTTGCCAATACTCAGAGATCTACCTGCCTCTGCCTCCCAAATTCTAGGATTAAAGCCATGTGCCAGCACCACCCAGTTATACCAGGTATTTGTTTGTATTTTTTATTTTGAGTTTTTCAAGACAAGGTTTCTCCTGTGTCCTGGCTGTACTAGAACTCACTGTATAGACCAGATTGTCCTTGAAATCACAGAGATTTGCCTGCCTCTGCCTCCTCAGTGATGGGATTAAGGGCATTCACCGCCACCTCCTGGCTACTTAATGAATTTAAAAAAATGAAATAAATATAAATTCACAGTGGCTTCCACAATAACATACAAGTGGAGTCTGGGCATTCATTTTGCTAATAGGAAGTGTAAATATATCATATTTAATCTAGTTGCAGATGAACACTATTGTCATCTAGACTGTGTTTACATTTCCTGTCTCACAGGACCTTTCTCTTGTCTGTGTGGTGAAGTACACTTAACCACAGGTCTAGGCTTGTGCAGTGACAAGCACTGAGAATACAGAGCTGCTCCTTGACCATGCAGTTCCCTCTTGCTAGCCCATTAGCTACCTTGTTCGGCCTGTCTTCTTCTCTTCACCTTGTATATCCATTTTCCTTCTCAATGGATTGTGGGGTCACTGTCAAGTCTGATGACTATTTACCTGGTCCTTCTGTGTGGGTTTGTTTGAATACAAATTTTACAATTTTGAGATTTGCTCTTAAACCTATGGCTTTATTTATGTTAATTTTGCACTCGGGATGTTATTTATTTTAATTTTGCACTCGGGAGGCAGAGCCAGGCAGATCTCTGTGAGTTCGAGGCCAGCCTGGGCTACCAAGTGAGTTCCAGGAAAAGGCACAAAGCTACACAGAGAAACCCTGTCTCGAAAAACCAAAAAAAAAAAAAAAAAAAAAAAAAAAAACCCAAGCATCAAATCCTTTAAGTGTCTCAGGGCTAGGGAGATGGCTCAGGGGTAAAGGACCTGAGTTTGGATCCCCAACATCTATATAAAAGCTGGACATAGCAGCATGCATGTGTTACTTCAGAGCTGTGTTTGGAAATAGGTAGATCCTAAGGGCTGGCTGGTTAGCTTTTCTAGCCAAACCAGAGCCTTCTAGATTCAGTGAGGAACCTGCCTAAAAAATGCACTAGAGACTTATACAGGAAGTTACAAGACCTCTGGTCTCTAAATCAGCATGTACACACACATACACACACACACACACACACACACACACACACACACACACACACACACACAAACATGCACACACCCCATATGAAAACATGACTTTTTACATTGCTAAATGTTGTAAATACAGAACTAAAGAACTTGTCTGTTGCAAAGATAACTTTCCATCTGTCCCCAAGCCTTTTGCCATCGCATAGCTCTGGAGAATCTGCTATATCTTGTTCCCATCTTCTCTCCAACCCTGGAACTAATTTTCCAACCACAGAGAGATTTACATTTAGAAGGATCCTGAAATATAGAGATTTGAAATCTTAACAGGCAGCCCAGTGAACACCTGATTTCTTATGGACTGTGAGGAAATTTTGACATTTTTGCATCTGGCATGAGGGTTGATCCATAGTAAAGTCAGTAACTAACTGCTATACTCCAATTTCCACTTAGCACTTTTGCAACTATGGAAAATTCTGGACTTACAGAAAGCCAAATTTGTATTTTTTTTTGGACTCTAGGATATTAGCCCAGTGGGGATTATGAGTAAAGCCGTCTCCATGTCTAAGGATGAGGATTGGAAGAGAATTCGAGCCTTGCTGTCTCCCGCCTTCACCAGTGGAAAACTCAAAGAGGTGACTGGAAGGCCTTTTATGTGAAATGTTTGTGAGACTTGATTCCCCACACTTAACTATGGATGCCTTTGTGTTTTGTGCTTAGATGTTCCCCATCATTGAACAGTATGGAGATATTTTGGTAAAATACTTGAGAAGAGAGGCAGAGAAAGGCAAGCCCATCACCATGAAAGAGTAAGTAGTGATACATGTACTGCGGTTCTGGGAGAGGAAGGGCAACTGGGGCAGAAGGGTCATCATCTGTGTGTCTCACATGGTCCAGCTGCTCCTTCTTCCCTTAGACACTAGATGACAAAATATTCAGTTAGAAAAGAAACATGGTTGTACCAAGGTCACGAGGTAGGGGGAGGCTAGGAGGGAAAGGTACTTGGTTAGTACTGAGGTGATTTTGCCTGTCGTGCCCAAGAATACGAATTTTCAGGCTTCTTGGTGCATGTGTTAAATTCCCATGTCTCTCTCCTCAGAGTGTTTGGGGCCTACAGCATGGATGTGATCACAAGCACGTCATTTGGTGTGAATGTTGATTCCCTCAACAACCCAAAGGACCCTTTTGTGGAAAAGGCCAGGAAGCTCTTAAGATTTGGTTTTTGTGACCCATTATCCATGTCAGTAGGTGTGTATGATGGTTCTTCTGCCTTTTGACCCACTGCTCTTGTCTGTGGCCATGTTAGTCAATTCTGCCTTTCTCTTCCACACTTACCAAAACTAATAGATCTATTGGTATATAATTCACCCCCTTAAAGACACAATCCAGTATTTTTAGTGTATTCAAATGCATGTAACCCTCACTTTTGTTTTAGAACTTCATTTTTCTTTCAGACTGTGTTGCTATAGCTGGCCTGGAAGTTGATATGTGGACTTCACTGATCTTGAACTCACAGTGATCCACTTACATCTGCCTTCTCTGTTCAGAGAGTAATGCGTATGCCACCAGTCCTGGCTTTGATTTAGAATTCTTTTATTTATCCTTTGACAGTATCACATAGGCATACAATCTATCGTGATTATACCTACCCATAACTCTCACCTCCATTTTCCCTCAGACTCCCCAACACATCTTCCTCCCAATTTATGTCCCTTCCCTTTTGAGTCCAATGTGTCCTGCCTGCCAGGATGCTGACCATTATTATTGGTGTGATCTCATGCAGGTGGTCAGATAATGAGTGGGTTTTATGATATTGTGTTCCCCAATATATTGTGCACCCTAATAAACTTATCTGGTCAGAGAACAGAACAGCCACTAGATATAGAGGCCAGAAAATTGTGGCACATACACCTTTAATCCTAGCATTCCAGAGGCAGAGATCTGTCTTGATCTCTGTGAGTTCAGAGTCACACTGGAAACAGCCAGGCATGGTGACACACACCTTTAATCCCAGGAAGTGATGGCAGGAAGCATAAAGGTATTTACGGCATGAGGACCAGAAACTAGAGCCTGGTGATCTTTTAGGCTTTTAGCAGCAGTTCAACTGATATCCATTTGGATGAGGACACAGAGGCTTCCAGTTTGAGGAAAGAGATCAGCTGAGGAACTGCCAAGGTGAGGTTGTGGCATGTTCTGTTTCTCTGATCTTTCAGCATTCACCCCACTACCTGGCTCTGGGTTTGTTTTTATTGATAAGACCTTTTAAGATTCATGCTACAAGTGGGCCATGCCATGTCCATGATATGGCATCTTACACCACCACTCCCTGGATTTTACTTTATTCCCACACCCTCTTTCATAATGTTCCTTGAGCCTTGAGTGGTGGGGGTGTTGGTTTAGATGCTCCATGTAGGGCTCAGCACTCAATAGTCATTTATTCTCAGCACTTTAAATTACTTAGGAGTCTGCATTGACTGATGGTCCACATGGCCCATTGCCAATGTCAACTGCAAAGCAGGAACACCTGCTTTGATGTTTTTGTGGCATGTGGAAATCAGAGAATAGCTTACATTAGTTGGTTCTCTCCTATCACAGTATGGGATGCAGGGATCAAACTCAGGTTGTTAGGCTTGTGTGCAAGACTCTTTAGCTGTCAAACCATGTCAACGGCCCCTGTCTGTACTTTCTTGATCCACACAAACTACAGGAACAGAGTTAAATCCAAGAGTCAGAGGTGTTTCTTTGGCTACTCCAAATGCAGAAGGAGCATTATGATGGTGACCCAGTGTGAGCAAGGTCACAGAGAGAATGGCTTCTGGTTGAGACTTGGTGACTTATTGTTAGATTGCTTCATGATTTCTCTAAATGAAACTTGCATTTACACTAAAACTTATTTTTCTATCTACCCTTTCCAGTACTCTTTCCATTCCTCAAAACAATATATGAGAAGCTAAATATCTCCATATTCCCAAAAGGTTCAATAGCATTTTTCAAAAAATTTGTGGACAGAATGAAGGAAAATCGCCTGTATTCTAACCATAAGGTAAAAATCTTAGAGGTTGTCCCCTTAGAGGTCCATAGTTTAATAACATGTTTGGTCTGTGAACATGTGAGCTGTGTACTGCCCTTCATCTATCACTAAAGGTAGATAGAGAAGGCTAGATTGAGAGAGAGAGAAACAGACAGAGAGAGATAGGGAGAATATTAATATTTCTGGGGAAGGAGAAATTAGAGTTTTGAAAAATTGATTGAAAATAAGACGAGAATTAAACCTTAGCAATAGAAATGAAAACCAGATCTTGAATAAGGATTCAAATTTTAAAAAATGACAAGGCACAATACCTACACAAGACCAAGGCCACCAAATCTCCAGCATAGATGAGGGAGGACCCTCACCCCTCACTGAAGAACTGTTGGTAATTGATGGCTGTAGAAGGAGGGTGTGGCCACTAATAGGTTTCCCCTGCACCAGTGGATGGCTCCATAGCCAGATGCATGTGGGCAGCACCAGCTGGACTCAGTGGGTTATTGAAAAAGAAGAGGTCATGAAGTTTGAGGAAGAAATGTTATAAGGGATAGAGAAGGGATCGAATGGAGGAAATGGTGGGGTGGATATGACAATATCTCATTGTATATATGTATGAAATTCTATAAGAATACCTAAAAATGATTAAAAGGGGGGAAATACTATTATCATCTCCTTCAAAAACATTCTCAAAAATGAAAGCTATTGTTTGAACTTGTGTCTCTTGTAATTTATTGTAAACGTGGTTGATGTGGTAGCTGATGGCTCCCTGGTTTAGCCACTGGTGCTTTTGTTCTGTGATGACTCCAGCAACACTAACTTGAGTAATCAAAGCTTCTGCACGGCTGATCCACCTCTGACCTCCGACCTCACCATTGACCTTCTGTTTTTGCAACTTCTCTTTCTGCTTCTAGCACCGAGTGGATTTTCTTCAGCTGATGATGAACACTCGTAACAATTCCAAAGACAATGAGTCTCATAAAGGTAAACAAGGACTCCCTGGTCTATGGACAAGGAAGCTCTCAGAAAATGTGTGGGAAGGTTTTCTAGCAGAAGAATACCTCTGCGGTGTTGATGACAGAAGGACATGGCTATTGTTTCCAGGGAATATTCTAGAAGCACAGGGGCACAGGTTTGTTCCAATTGTAAAGGGTAGCCATGATGGAAGTCTTCAGTGGTCTCTGTGTGTTACTTAGGTCTTTCCCAGCACACTGACTGGGAACTCTGCCTAGACATCTGACACCAAACATCCAGTCAGGAGGCATGCACCCAAACTGTGCTGGTGTTTTCTTGGAGCCCCTGCTGTACATGTGTTCTCTACCTTAATCTATGCTAAAGATTTACTTTTCTCTGTGTATTGAATAAGTGACATCTGAGGAAAGTCTCTTTGTACAAACACACTGGTTCTTTTGATTTTTTTACACACTTAAAAATCACTTTTAGATTTTTATCTTCTTCGGGTAGCATATGCATGTGTGTGCACATGTGTACACCCCATGCCTGTGTGAATGCCAGAGGAAGGCACCAAGTGTCTTCCTCAACCACTCTCTGACCTATTTCCTCCACATGGTGTCTCCTATTAGACAGTCAACAACTTTTAGACAGTGGTTGGCAGTCAGAAGGTGCTGGTAATCCATAGAGTTGGTGTTACAGGTGTGTGTTAGCATACTTGCCTTTTTACATGGTGACTGAGGATTCAAACTCAGGTCTTCATGCTTATGCAGCAGCAAATGTTCTTATCCATTGAGGTATCTCTAGAACCTCACAGCTATGATTATACTTTAATTTAAAAACATTATTATCATCATGGTTGCCAATTTTCAGGCTTTAATCTACATGTGTGCATCAGTAGCTAATGTAAAGGGATTCTTCTATTCTTATGTATTTGCTTATTTGTAGTACGTACAATTGCTTATATATAACAATATGATCTTCTAGGTCCCAATATTTGCTTTTTAACGTCATCATATATTTTGTGTTTCAAATTCTCTCCAGTTTGTCCACTTGAAACCCTTTCATGTGATCAGCTAACTTCAGTTTCTTGTATACCACTTCATCCTTTTGAGGTTGGATCTCATATAGCCCAGGTTGACCTCACATCATGGAGTGTCTAAGAATTACCTTTTAACATCTATACTATCATGCCCAGTTTATACGGTCCTGGGGATTGAAACCATGGCTTTAAGCATGCTAGGCAAGCTCTCCACCTACTGAGATTAATGTCCTTAGCCCTTCTGTGTCAATTTTGATTGCTAAATAGATATTAATTTTTAAAATGCCCACTGATTGTGGGTTTATAGTCCAGTTTCAATTTAGTAGCAAGAACTTAAACTAATTGGAAGAAAATAATTGCCAACAACAGAATCACAACACTCATGGAAAATGTTTACAACTGCCTGTAACTCTAGCTCTATGGGCTCCAATGCCATCTTTGCCCTCCGTGGGCACTTGTACACATGTGCAAGCACACACACATAAAAAAAAATTTAAGCTCTAGCAAAGGACTGGAGCTCAGTTCCTAGAACTACCTCTGAAAGCTCAAAAGTTTCTAAATCTCCATGTCTAGGGGATCAGATGCCCTCCTCTGGACTCCATGGGCACCCCACACACACATGGCACCCCTCTACAGACACAAATACATACACATAAATAAAAATAAAAGCAAATCTTAAAACAGAATAAATTACATGTCTTGAAGTTGCCCACTGATGATGATGAGGACCAGAGCATAAACCAGGGGACATCCTGGCTGAAGCAGTCTTCCCCTTCTCTGTCTGTGTCACATGGATGTGAGAGTGACAGCAGTCCCAGGGAGACTGATCGGCTACTCCATATTTATCTCTAGGGAAACAGGACCTCATTTGATTTTCTCTTCATCTCTTCTGTGATGGTCCTCACTGACCTGTTTTCCTGACATGTTTTCTTACTTTCAGCTCTGTCTGACATGGAGATCACAGTCCAGTCAATTGTCTTTATTTTGGGTGGCTACGAATCAACCAGCAACACGATTGTCTTCGCCCTGTATTTACTGGCCACTCACCCTAATATCCAGAAGAAAGTGCAGGAGGAGATCGATGAGACTCTGCCCAATAAGGTGAATGGCTGGTGCTTGGAGGAGGAGGGAAAAGGAGACACCGATCACCCTCAGTGGTGTGTGTGTGTGTGTGTGTGTGTGTGTGTGTGTGTGTGTGTGTGTGTGTGTGTGTGTGTGTGTGTGTATCCTAGACCTACACTAGGTATTTTTCTAAATCACTCTCCACCATGTTTTAAGACAGGCTTTCTCACAGAACGTCAAGCACATCAATTTGTTAGGCAGTCTCCTCAATGATCACCAGGCAGGCCTTTACACTGTGTCCCCCTTCCCAATGCTGGGATTATAGATGTTTGCCACTGTGCCTGACTTTATGAATGATGTGTATCTGACTCAGGCTTGCATAGTAGACACTTCACAAATTGAGACATCGTTAAGCCCCAAGTAATAGTTATTCTAACCACTTTGTAAAGGGCTGGATAGGTGGCTCAATGGTTAAGAGCACTGGCTTCTCTTTCAGAAGATCCATCCAGGTTTGATTCCCAACCCCAAATGGTAGTTCTCAGCCATCTGTAATTCCAGTTCCAAGGGATGTGAAACCCTCTTGTGACTTCTGTAGGTACTGCACTCATGTGATGCACAAAACACATATGTGGGCAAAACATAAACACAAAAAATAAAATAATTTAAAGCCTTTATAAAATGTATTGTAAGTGCATAGGACCTTTTCAATGCTGAATTCAGCTTTGGAGCTACTGAGAACTCAACAGTACAATTCAGACCTATTGAAAGTTAATGTAAAATTTCAGCACAAATCTTTTTTTTTCTTCCCAGGCATCTCCAACCTATGATAAAGTGATGGAGATGGAGTACCTTGACATGGTGTTGAGTGAAACCCTCAGATTATACACAATTGTTAATAGACTTTTTCGGGCCTGTAAACAAGATGTTGAAATTGATGGTGTGTTTATTCCCAAAGGGTCCTTAGTGATGGTACCAATTTATGTTCTTCACCGTGACCCAGAGTACTGGCCAGAGCCTGAGGAATTCCACCCTGAAAGGTACTAGACTCCCCGGAGTGTGAACCCACCCTGAACCATGTTTGCCTGTATATGCTATGATGTCTCTTATGGGAAGATGATCTAAATGTGATTTTTGCATCCATTTGCATTCTATGATGAGAATGGAAGAGAAAAGGAAGGAAACAGAGGAGAGGGGATGAGAGATAGGGAAGAAAATATGAGAATTTAGGCACAGAGTGTTTTTCTTCTTTTACCTCAAGTAGCAAATGACCAACTTAAGTGAGGCAGGAGCCCATTTTCCTTCAGTCTAACTGGCACATGCTTTTCAGAGATGAACCCAGCATTATCCTGAATGGACTTTTAGAGTTTAGAGATCTATCCCCTTTTTTTCTCACATTACCCTGTCTCTTCTCCCTCCTACAATGTTGATTCCCTAATTGTCCTCATCAAGTCTTCCTCCTGTTTTCATGTCTTCCTGTTTTCTTGTGGCTCCTGAGTTTAATTAGGGTTGCTTGCGTAAGTGTAGTAGGTAAAGGAGTTATTTACTGGAGAATGAACAACACACCAATAGCTACATCACCAAAGAGAAACTACCCCCTACTCCAAAAATGATTGTCAATAGCTCCTCAGGGAGGTAGCACCTCATGATCTCTCCCCCATCCATGACAGAGTGTATCAACATGGTTCCTGTCTTGTGTAAGCAACCAGAGGTGCTGGGAGTGTATGAGTACAATGGCTGTGTCATGCCCAGATGATAGTGTTTCACAGCACCCCTTTCATTCCCTTACTATTGTGTTATTCTGCCCCCTCTTCTGAGATGTTCTCTGAGCCTTGTTGGGAATGATATTGATGTCCCATTAAGTGCTGAGCACTCCACCATCACTGTTTTTCAGCATTTTGACCAGTTATGAGTCTTGACGTTAACTGTCTCCCACAGCAATCAGAAGCTTCTCTGATCAAGGCTGAGAACAGCACTATTTTTTGTATATAAACATAAATATTTGGAAGACAGTTTGATACCATGTCCACTTAGCAAAACAACAGTAGTACATTCACCCTTAGAGCATATGACCTCCATAGCCATTAGATTTTGACCAGATTTTCAGTACCAGGCATTAATTCCCTTTGTAAATTGGAACTGCAATCTAACCAGACAGTGGTTGGTTACCCCTATCCCATAACACCATAATTACACTAGTGGACACAGAGGATAAATTTTCTTTCAAACAGCAGTTGTCTAATCTACCATCTGGAAACTCTTACAGGGCAAGGGAGATGGAAAGGACCTTTAGTGTACAATTTCTCACAGCCAAATACCTGGATGCTGAAGTTCAATGAACCTTTCCCAAAGTACCTGTATGTTACCAGTTAGATGTCTAAAGACAAACACATGTATGCAGCTCTTCTGTTTCCACCCTTTGTTGACTTATCATTACTCTGTGTCTCCAGGTTCAGCAAGGAGAACAAGGGCAGCATCAATCCTTATGTATACCTTCCCTTTGGTAACGGACCCAGGACCTGCCTTGGCAGGAGGTTTGCTCTCATGAACTTGAAACTTGCTCTCACTAAAGTGCTGCAGAACTTCTCCTTCCAGCCTTGTAAAGAAACACAGGTGAGGGGAAAGCTATCTCTGTAAATGATGTTTTGTGGGGACAGTTTTTTTCAACTGAAGGTTCTGTGTATAAAAACAAATCTGTGTTTGATGTTTGCTAATTTGTTTTATGACCAAATGAGTTATTTGCATCCAGGCAAGAGCTGAGTTGCTTTTGGTTCTGGGTCAATATAGAGCACAAGTGTAGCATTATGAAGAGTTAGTGCAGGCCAGTATGACAGGATTACATGCATTGTGTTTGAAGTTCCAGTCATATCCATTGGAGATTAGATTTGTCATGTAGCATCAAGAGGTGCAGTGATCATGTCTTCACGTTTATTGAGTGGTGTACTCTTCTTCAGGAACTCACAGAAGCTCTGCTCTGACAGTCTTGTCAACCACTGACTGTACAGTAACAACTCATATACGGGGTCAGAGATGTTTGTCTGTTGGAATAGTGCTTACCTAGCATGCAAAAAGCACTGATTCCAATCCTCAGGATAGCATGAAGTAGCAGTGGTGGTGCATGCCTGGAATCCCTGCACTCAGTGGGTGGAGGCAAGAGGGTCAGAAATTCAAGTAATCCATTGCCACTTAGTGAATTTTGAAGCCAGCATGGCCCTTTATACATGACATCCTGTATAAAAAACAAAAGCACAAATTCATAATGCCTTATCCTTTCTGAAATCCTAAACTAATTTACCTAGAGTGTGGCTTTAAAAGTTCATCTCTGACTTCCCATGTGATGCTAAGTTGAGTATCATTATTTTAAAACACAATTTCTGGGACTCAAGAGATGACTCAGTGGTTAAGAGAACTAGCTGCTCTTACAAAGAACCTGAGTTCAGTTCCCAACACTCACATGGTGACTCACAACTATTTGTAACTCCAGTTCCAGGGCCTCTGATGTCCTTCTCTGACTTCTGTTGAAACCTCACACATGTGGTATGTACACATGTGTAGGAAACACGCTCATATACATAAAATAAAATAAAAATCTTGAAAAGATTGCTAGATATGATGAACTTCAAACTTATGAGGCATCTTGATGGTTCTGCCTCACTTCTCAGGAGCTCTGCTCCAGAAAAGAGGTAGCTGTCATATTTCCATAAATCATGTATCCTTTCCTTCATATTCTGTTCTTATACTTCAAGTTCTTGTTCATTCCCCAATGTATCTTCCTCTTGGGTTTATTTCCCCATTTCTTTATACTCTACTTTGGGCTACTGGAGGTTGTTTTTTTTATCACCTGTGCCAATACTTTGTAATTAATGCCTCCAGTTTAGTTGTGTTTTTTCTCTCAGTATTGAAGGATATCCCTGTCTTTTCTATATCACCTCGTATTATTCTTTCCACAATCTCCAAAATGTTTTTTGTGAAGAATTTCTGCATTTAAAGCCATTGGGAAATGTTTTGAAGCATACCTTATAATTCTAATATTCTTCCATAAAGATACTGAGCTAATTTAAAAATTAAAAGATTATGCTTATGTATATACTTTATGTACATCTTTTTATGCATTCAAGGAAAACACATATATACTACTTAAATTTTAAAAGAAGTAGATGGTACATTTGGAGAAAGCATTTACATTTTCCTGAACAACTTGTTCTTGTTTCATGTAAAGGGATGGGTAAAATTTATGGGATGTGTATATTTAGAATGTGTCTTCTCTTTGACAATTAGTTTCATGTCTGGATGGATAGAGGAATGACAGTGCTTATTCTGTGATTTCTGATTTAAGGCAGTTGTATGGCTTTACCTACACACAACCTCACTTAGGTTAGTACTTTCTCATGAAAGCATTTAAATCATAAGCATGAATAAGGATTAAGACAGACAAAGGAACGTTCATATTTTGAGAGCCAATGGCACACCTGTCATGTGACAGATGATCTGGCAAGTTCCACTCATTTTAAATTTGACAATTCTCTATCTCCATATCAACTTTGATCCCCTCCTCCTGTGACCAGAAGATTACTTGGTTGGAGGCTTTCCTCCTCCATCACTGAGTAGAATGAGCCTAAAACATCATTAAAAACACTGTAGGACTCAAAATTCTTCATTCAACCCATCTGTAACAGCCAAGAATAGATACTGGAAAAGCAAGCAAATATCTGTCTTCCTAAAGACTTGACCTAAATGGGCTCAACTACACTGGTGACATATGATCTAAGAGCTGAGGACTGTTCACAGAGGTGAAATTCCCCCACTCAGTGTTCAACTTGCAAGTTTCATCAAAACAAAAATTACTTTTCAGAACTTAAACAAAACATTATGACATATTAACTAAGAATCAGGCTCAAAGATGTTAAACTCATTGGGCTTAGTGGTGCATGCATTTAATACCAGCACTCAGGAGGCAGAAGCAGTTGGATCTCTGTGAGTTCAAGTACAGTCTGGTCCACATAGTGAGTTGCAGAACAGCCACAGCTACAGAGTGAGACTGTCTTGAAAAAAAAACAAAACAAAACAGAAATTAAATTCATCTGTTTTACTCTTAGCACAGAACAGAAATGACATAAACCAACATGACTTCATCTCAGGCCCTGTATATAGTAGAGTCTCAGCAAATATTTTACCTTATCCAAATTTGGAAGCATGCTTTCAACATCTAATTGACACAGCTTGGAGAATAACGTAGTCAAAGCAAATGACCTTAAATAAAGCTTATATGTATCTGCATAGCATCATCATCCTGGAAGGTTTTTTACATTTCTTTAGGGGTTGTTGTTGGTTCACTCATTGATTCTCAATATTTTCTTCCACTGTTGCAGATACCAATGAAATTAGGCAGACAAATACTTCTTCAACCGGAGAAACCCATTGTTCTAAAGGTTATACCACGGGATGTGATCGTAACTGGAGTGTGACTTTCCCTCAAAGACTTCCACTGTGTTCTTCAAGAAGGTGATATGTAAGAACACTGGAATCTTTAATTTACTTCATGAATAAAACCCAGATGAATATGTGGCTTAATCAACTGGCCTTGATCCATGATTAAGGATCCATTACATCCATTCACCTTTCTCAGTGTCAATACAGAGTACCATAGAATGTAAAGGAATTGACTAAATCAGTTGACAGAATAAGAAATTCATGTTCTCTAGTCCTCATGGGACCATGTTGATCCATATCTGGTTGTCTCCATCAATTTCCTTAAAGCTCTTTTAAGAGTAACCATGTCTCTGTAATTTGATCAGTAAGTTTTTAATAAAAATGTAAACTATTGTAAAAACTCTAATTGGAAAATTGGTATCCTATATTTTAGCTCCAATATTCTACAATATCGTTACATTGAAAATATAAATTAATATCTCTTTTAAAAAACCAATAAAATGTATTTTTGCATTCTGTGAGAGCTTCATACAATGTATTTTGATCATATTAATTCATCTCCTCCAACTCCTCCCAGATATTTCAATAACATGAATCTTAATAGGTCTTATTAATAAAAAACCTGGAGCCAGAAATTGCAGTGAAAAGCTGAGGGAGCAGAGAGAAGCCAGCCACATTCTTACCTGCATTGAGATCCTCCACCAAAGAGACCTACTTCCTGTATACCCACACCTATATGCCTTTCTGCTCTGTCATCTCATTTCCTCTCCACTCAGCTACATCACTTCTTGTCTCTCTGTACAGATCCCCAGACCTTTATGGTTAGTTTTGGGAATTTAAGGTGTGTGCCACCATGCCTGTCTCTGTTCCTAGTGTAGCCTTGAACTCATAGAGATCTAGTCAGATCTGTGCCTCCTGAGGGATAGGATTAAAGGTGTGGGCTACCACTGCCTGACCTCTATGTTTACTTTAGGGGCTGGCATTTTCCTCTGATCCTCAGATAAACTTTATTAGAAGACACAGATAAATATCAACACATTTCCCCTTTTCTTGTCCAAATAATAAAAAAGTTATAACTAATAAGAAAAACTATCTACAATAAGTACAATAACTATATACAATATATACAAGCGATAAATACATCAACAATGTCTAGTCCATTTGCATTTGACAAATTCAGAGAAAAGATTCCATTATCTATCCTATTTTGGTGAGTCCAAAATGTACCTAATTCACCTTCTATCCTAATTTATATTACCCACCAAAAATTATCTTTTGATGTCTTTCAAACTTAAACACTTAACACCTCTTAATGAGTTTCTTTTCTGAATTGTTGACAAGGAAAACTGTAACTACAATTATCTAATCTTCAACTTCCTCAGATACCCGAGAAGGGAATAATATTACCTAGTAAAACAGGAGGTACAAACAAGCAACTTCCCAAAAATGTGACAGAAAGAGCCAGCTGCCTGTTCAGTCACCTGAGGTTTCTCTGCAACTTTCAGGTATCATCTTCAGCCTACAGGCTAAACATATCTGATAGACTCGTTTATGAAGAGGATTTTCTAAAGAGCCTTCCTACCTTGTCTTGGCAAGGATCAGCAGCCATTTGTTTTGTGTCCTGCTTATCCATTTTGTACAGCATACTGTCAGCAGCCAATTCGAGGGCACTTTCTTGCCTAGTGGCTAACTTTTGCCACAGTGAAGTTAGCTTCATATGTAATTTCTTCAATGCCCATCATTTTCTCTGAAGTTGATTGGTGATGCCAGGAGTAGACAAGTCTCATAGACATAAAAAAAAAAGAAAAATCTATGTCATTAAAACACCTTAAATGCCATATTCTATAGATATCTGAAGGGTTTGAAGATGACCTGTTGCTGTGGAATGGTCTGTATGTCAAGTGTGTTGCTGATTGGTCAATAAATAAATCATTGATTGGCCAGTGGCCAGGTAGGAAGTATAGGCGGGACAAGGAGGAGAATAAAGCTGGGAAGTGGAAGGCTGAGTCAGAGAGACACTGCCAGCTGCCACAATGAGAAACAGCATGTGAAGATACCGGTAAGCCATGAGCCATGTGTAAGGTATAGATTTATAGAAATGGATTAATTTAAGCTGTAAGAACAGTTAGCAAGAAGCCTGCCATGGCCATATAGTTTGTAACCAATATAAGTCTCTGTGTTTACTTGGTCAGGTCTGAGCAGCTGTGGGACTGGCAGGTGAGAGAGATTTGTCCTGACTGTGGGCCAGACAGGAAAACTCTAGCTCAGTTTCCACCTAAAACTTGAGAAAAGATTCTAAAACAGAGCTAAAAACAGCTTCCTAATTGTCTCTCTCAAATGAGCGGCAGCTGCCGGTTTGAGCTACTGGTGGGTTCCTAGCGTGCGCACTCGACCTGCCATATGGCAGGAATGAGGCCTCTACAAGTGGCACATTAAGCTGCATGGTGGATTTAGCCTTTGCTAGTACAAAACAAAAAAGAAGTTTCTGGGCTATATGCTGCTTGGATAAAAGCATAGACCCACAATAGCTCCCAGAGCTGGCAGTAAACATGCCACTGCCATGTTGGGAAGCTGAGGTGGGCGGGGCCAGCAGCCATAGTACCATTTCAGTCTTACAAATGCTGCAGTTTAAAGCAATAGATTCACAATAAGACAGATTCAGATGTAATAGTTTACAATGTGTGTAAAATATACATAGGCTTGAAAGAGACAAAAAAGGTGATATATACAGTTATATAAACAAATACATAGTTTTAAAAAATAAAGTCTTTTTTTTTTTTTTTTTTTGGTTTTTCGAGACAGGGTTTCTCTGTGTAGCTTTGCGCCTTTCCTGGAACTCGCTTTGGAGACCAGGCTGGCCTTGAACTCACAGAGATCTGCCTGGCTCTGCCTATAAAGTCTTTAAAGAGTAAAATTAATATAGAAAATAAGCCATGTGAAGATGAATATTACACAGAGAATCTGGATTTTGTTGTCTTTGGGATTTTTAACTGCAGAAAAATATTTGATCATAAAAGATGTTGAGTTAAACCAATATGTATATTTTAAAGATACCTTGACTTCAAAATTTGGATGTAAGGATGTGTTGCTTTGGAAAGGAGACTCTGCTTTTGTTCCCACAGAAAGCCAAAGGCTATGGATTTTTTCCAGATTAAGATACATCAGGTTTGACCAGCCAAGACCCCCTGAAAGGTCTCTGATGACACCATGGCCCAGATGATCCAACATCCAGAATGGTTTGAAGGCAACTGGCTCAGACGATACACCCTCATGGACTATTCCATAATCCTAAAATTTTCTTTGTTTCCCCATAAGATACAGTGCCCCCCTCCAGCAGGAAGTAGTAAGAGAAGCTATGCCCAAATTCTCAAATTATATGTAATTTTACTTTGTTAAGGTTAAAACCTTCCTTTTTGAAAAAAAAGAAAAAGAAAAGGGGAAGTGCTGTGGGATGGTCTGTATGTCAAGTGTGTTGCTGATTGGTCAATAAATAAATCATTGATTGGCCAGTGGCCAGGCAGGAAGTATAGGCGGGACAAGGAGGAGAATAAAGCTGGGAAGTGGAAGGCTGAGTCAGAGAGACACTGCCAGCCGCCACGATGACAAACAGCATGTGAAGATGCCGGTAAGCCACAAGCCATGTGGCAAGGTATAGATTTATAGAAATGGATTAATTTAAGCTGTAAGAACAGTTAGTAAGAAGCCTGCCACGGCCATACAGTTTGTAACCAATATAAGTCTCTGTGTTTACTTGGTCAGGTCTGAGCGGCTGTGGGACTGGCAGGTGAGAGAGATTTGTCCTGACTGTGGGCCAGGCAGGAAAACTCTAGCTATAATCTGTCTATCTAAACTATATCTCTGCTTGACCTTTGAAACATACCTAATATGACTACAAGTTCAATTGTAATGATTAACCACTAATTTTCTTTTTTTTTCATTTTTCTTTATTAAGAAATTTTCTACTCACTGTACATACCACCCACAGATCCTACCGCCTACCTCCTCCCACCCCCCAGCCCTCTCTCCCAAGCCACCCCACATTCTCACATCCCTCAAATCAAGGTCTCCCATGGGGAGTCAGCAGAGTCCGGCGCACTGAGCCTAGGCAGGTCCAAGCCCCTTCCCACTGCATCAAGGCTGCAAGAGGCATCAAACCACAGGCACCAGATTCCCAAAAGCCTGCCCATGCACCAAGATGGATCCCAATCCCCATGCCTGGGTGACCCCCAAGTTCAAGCCAAATAACCATCTTTCATATCCAGAGGGCCTAGTCCAGTCCCATGGGGGCTCCACAGTCACTAGTCTACAGTTCATGGGCTTCCACTAGTGTGACTGGTCATCTCTGCACATCTTCCCATCATGATCTCAATGTCCCCCACCTGTAGAATCCCTCCTCTCTCTCAATGATTGGATTCCCAGAGCTCAGCCTAGTGCCTGCCTGTGGATCTCTGCATCTGCCTCCATCAGTCACTGGACAAAGGCTCTATGATGACATGTTATTTGCTAGACCAGTCACCAGTGTAGACCAATCCACCACTGCCAGCAGTCCAAGGTAGGGTCATCCTTGTGAATTCCCGAGAGCATCTCCAGCACTCTGCCTCTTCCTATTCCCATGATGTCCTCATCTATCATGGTATCTCCCTCCCTGCCCTCCTACTCTGTCCCTGTTCCAGCTCAACCATCCCATTTCCCTATGTTCTCATCCCCCACTCCTCGCCCTCTGCCACCTCCTCCACACCCAGTCTGTTCATGTACATCTCATCTATTTCTCCTTCGCTGGGTCATCCATGTGTCCCTTCTAGGGTCTTTTCTTGTTAGCTAGCCTCTCTGAAGCTGTGGATTGCAGTCTGGCCATCCCTTCCATCACATCTAGTATCCACTTATGAGTGAGTACATACTATGTTTGTCCTTCTGAGTTTGGGTTACCTCACTCAGGATGATATTTTCTAGTTCCACCCATTTGCCTGCAAATTTCATGGTATCATCGTTTTTCACTGCTGAGTAGTACTCCATTGTGTATATGTGCCACATTTTC